GCCAAAATGTTTCGGTTATTGGGGCTGAGTCACCAAACTCCTCCACAATTTGTCTTCTTGTCGTCCGGTCTCGCTCCAAGCTCCTTTGTCATACTCTTCCGTCCGGGAGGGTACCTTTCAAAGATCCTCCGATGCCAAAGTCAGTACAGGAACCGTTTGGTGATTCAATGGAATAGTAATGAATATGTAGTAAATGCAACCTATCTACCACTTATCTCTGACCTGTATTTATAGTTTTCGTCATGGGCTTGTGATTAGTGAAAAGTTAATCACAGCCCATTTCAAGCCTAATGGCTCTAATCACTATTTACCTTAATCCTAGTTTTAATGACTCAATTCACCTATCGGCCGATCTTGTGCAACCGTCCGGTTAGGTGAGTGTCGACGCTATTCTCTAGACGTTCCGGTTCTTACGATACATTGTTGTTACTCACTCGAGTTGAAGTATGAATGGTGGAGTAGAATAACGCGAACTTGTCCTGTCCGTATGGCACAAAATGGTTGGATTGGAGGTGGGTTTTGGGGTGCAGTGCAGTAGCTTGACTAATTATGTGTGGCAATGTATTTAGTTGGATTAATAAATAACTATTTTTTAGTGATAACCATGGTAGAAAATAACCATTATCATCAAAGCTCACAAACACATTATTCGTAAGTAATATTAGTTATAACTGATTTTTTTACAAATTTTTATCTATAAATAATATTGCTTTTATTTAATAATTTTGTGACTTATCAATAAACTTTTACAATATGTAATGATGATTTTTCTTATAACGAAGATTATATAAAAAACAAGTTAAATAAGTTTGACTTACAATATATGAACCTATTTTATATACTTGTATTAATGTACTTTTTAAAATTATGTAACATCTACAAGTAAATAACAAAATTCTTGTATAATTAAGATATATTACAAAAACAACATTAGTATTTAAATATATTTTTAATTTTTATATTAATTAACATCAACTAACAAAAAAAAATTATGACCAAATGAATTAAAATGAAATTATAACTGCAATCAAAATCTCTTTTGCCACAAATAAATTTATTCCTTAAACTAAAGATTGATGGTGCTTAGCGTCATTATTTAAGAGAAATAATAATGAACAAATTTTTTTGTTTAAGTAACCTTAAAATGACTATTTAATTAAGCGACATCACTCCAGCAAAAATCATTTTGTTCATGTTTAACCACTTAAGAAAAACAATTAAAACAACCATTACCTAACTTTTTAATATGTTTCCTTAATCTTACCAAACACTATTTTTTTCATATTTCAGTGAATCCTCAATTATAAAATACATTAATGATTATCTTTAGCAGAATCTAGGAGACAATTTCTGTAACAGACTTTTCAATGACAAGATATAATTATTACAAATATCTACCGCTAAAACATTATTAATTTGTTTTATAAAGATTTTGACGATAATTTTCTCAACAAATTAATTTATTATAAAACCTATCACAAAATTAACAATAATGTCACGTATATTTTGTGATGAATTTAATGTAGTCATCAGATGAAAAAGTTATTTTTTGCACTGAGAATGATGTTTTGTCTTCTAAATTTTGGATTCCCACGGACGTTTCTCTCGCTACAAAGCTGGAATCACAAAACATATGGTGTATTTTTTAATAAAATTTAAAATAACATTATAAAATTAAAGAAAAAATTGAACACGTGATATATTGAACAAATATAATATTGTAAGACGGGCAAATGGCATAGAAACGCTGAGATCATATTACAATACAAAAAAGTTTATTTCACACTTCCATCAAAATACATTAATTTGACACTTCTATTAATAATATAATAATATATATTTCACTTAAAAATTAAAAAATAATATAAATATAATTGAAATATAATTTTTTTTACTGTCAAATGAATATAATTTTGGCCCTGTCAGAGTATCACCTCTCATTAAAATATTTGCCACAAATCCACAAAAACATACTCTATTTGAAATAGTTAATAAGATTTTTAGCAAAATTTAACTATAAACCGATTAGTAGATAAACAAAATAATCTTCACAAAGAAGATGAAAATTTAAGTCCGAATTCCTTTGAAGTTTTTAATTCCGAAGGTACAAATGGATACTATTTGTTGTTGACAAGAGTAGGTGATACACGATTGCATCATAGACAGACCAATCTTTATAATAATATTCATCCATAAAATATATACGCCCTCTCTTCTAGCGAGACTTTGCAATGTGTGTAGCGTGGGTCAAAATTAGAATAGGATTAGCATTTAAAATATATATATATGAAGTTAATGACTTCTGCGTAAGATTGAATTTGATTGGCACAGTAAGTTCTACATGTTTATCCGAAGTAGAAATTACACATCTTAAAAACATGACATCTATAATATAATTTAATTTACGGTTAAGAACGCGTGTGAAACTTGTGTTGTTGTATTGGCTTTAGGATGTTCGTAGATAGAACAGAGTTTGCATTATAAATATAGAGAAAAACTAATGAGGTTTCATCAAAGTGAAACAACATATCAATATACATTGAGTGGTTAAGGAAGAAAAACAATGGAGTGCAAGAGTGAAGAGCGTATCTCAAAACTCCTTGGAGCTCAAACCCATGTTTGGAATCACATTTTCAGCTTCATAAATTCCATGTCCCTCAAATGTGCAATTGATTTGGACATACCTGACATCATACACAAGCATGGTGAACCCATGCCACTCTCAAAACTCACTGCTTCAGTATCACTCCATCCTTCCAAAGCCAACTGCATCTACCGGTTGATGCGAATCTTGACCCATTCTGGCTTCTTCTCTGAAGTCAAGGTGAATGAGAATGAGCTTGAAGTGGGTTATGTGTTGACTGATGCATGCACTCTATTACTTAAGGACAACCCCTTGAGTATGACACCTTTCTTGCATGCCATGCTTGATCCAATTTTGACAAAGCCGTGGCATGAATTGGCTACATGGTTCAGGAATGATGATCCCTCGCCATTCCACACAGCACATGGGATGAAAATCTGGGACTACGCTGGGCGTGATCCAAGACTGAATCATCTTTTCAATGATGCGATGGCAAGTGACGCTGAATTGGTTGGCAATGTGGTTATTGAGAGGTGTGGGGGAGTGTTCAAGGGGTTGGAGTCACTTGTTGATGTCGGTGGAGGCACAGGTACCATGGCAAAGGCAATTGCCAAATCATTCCCTCACTTAGACTGCACCGTGTTTGATCTCCCACATGTTGTTGCCGACTTACAAGAAGCTGACAACTTAAAATTTGTTGGAGGTGACATGTTTGAGTCAGTTCCTCCTGCAGATGCCGTTCTATTGAAGGTAAAATTTTCTTCAAAGTTGATTATTAAATATTTTTTGTTTTTGAAATTGGCCCCTGATTTAGTTTATTGATGATCCAGTGGATATTGCATGACTGGAATGACGAGCAGTGTGTGAGAATACTGAAGAAATGCAAGGAGGGAGTAAAGAGGAAGGTGATTGCGATAGACATGGTGTTGGAGAGTGAAAAGCTTGATTATGAATCAACTGAAACGCAGCTCATGATTGATATGGTTGTCATGGTGTTGTATCCTGGAAAAGAGAGGACCGAGAAAGAATGGGCTAAGATCATTTTCTCTGCTGGTTTCACTGACTACAAGATAACTCCACTGGTGGGTTTGAGGTCTCTCATCGAGATTTATCCCTAACACTTTACTTCTTATGGACTGTACTGTGTGGCATATTATTATATAACTCCACTTGAATTTCAGCACCACTTCGTCAATAAAGGCCCTTTCATTGCGTGATGGAATGGATTCAATGAAATGCTTTTTCTAATTTCTTTTTTAACTCTATTGTCTCTATCCTTTTCCCTTTCTGTATCATTCGTCTTCTGCCTTTTTTTTTCGTGTTTGTGTTCACACGACTGTCCCAGTATTTATCAATACAATAGAATTGGCATCTCAAATAATTCTATTGTTTGATCCTATCTTAGTGCTGGTTTTTATGTAAACTGATTTCTTGTAATGTTACTATTTATGTTTTTCTATTAATATTATAGTATTGGAAGCAAATAAATGAATTTGTTGGTCATGCATAAGCTTGACAGATTGTATTAAAACAAAAGTCATTTTGATAGTACCGTAATCCAATGTCATTTTAAGCAATAACAGTAGCATACATGAACAGCGACTAAAGGAAAAGCACAACAGTAGCATGTGTTTGCTTATTGGCCAATTGGGTATGCATATAATTTAATTGAGGGTGCAATGTGGTCACCTAATGTGGATAAGAACGTGCAAAGTAATAAATAAACAAGTTAAAATTTGATTATTTAGCCATCTGATTGAGAAAGCAATTTGGCCACGCGATCGCTCACTGTTCAATGTTTGGCATATTACTGGTTCATTGTAACCATTAATTACAGAACACGTTATATATATATATATAACTTATCATTTTGTGAACATGGTTTTGGTGATTACCGTGTTCTCTCACTGAACTGTATGGTGATTTCACAAAATCCAGACCCTGCTTGCTTATTCTATGTATAAATTGTCTGCTAGTAATGTGTATCAGCACTTCTGGTTCTACCAACGTGATTACACACTTCATCTCTGTTGAAAATCGTTGACAATTGAAGATTTTTAAGGGGAGATTTCTGAGACCTGTGAACTTATTTACTGGACCTACACTGATAAAAAAAACATGATTTTTTATAGGTTTCTACTCAAGAAACCTTCACAATCAACACAAAACGTACCAAACTCACACACCAACTAATGAAATGCCTCTTCTTGTATTAAAAGTAACCAGAATGAAATGTACAGAGAACAGAGAGCCTAACCTCCCCCAGGATAACAATTCCGGTTAGAAACTACAATCAATCCAAAAGTCCTCTAAATAATTCAAAAGCTATTTATACCAAGTCAATTCCCGCCTTTCCTAATTGCCAAGGCAGTTAGACTATTAATATTTCTTTCTTCTCTCATACACTCTCAATCTCCTAACATTACCCTCCACCTCTTCAACAACCTTGTTCCCAAGTTGAATTCGGGATATTGATCCTGGATGGTCACCCTGTCTTCCCACGTTGCGCCCTCTCTTCCTCCTTCTTACTACTCCACCAAAACTTGCTGTAACAGCTCATCTTCTTGTTGCACTTGCAATTCTGAAGGTAAGTCCTTCTCCACTTTCTTGTCACCTATTGCCTTCTTCAGCTGGAACACATTGAAAACTGAGTGTATCCTAGCTGCTTTGAGTAACCTGAGTTTGTAAGCCACCTCTCCAACTTGCTGCACTACTTGAAACGGTCCAAAATACCGAGCTAACAGCTTTGGATGAAGTCTTACTGGCATGAAAGATTGTCTATGAGGTCTGATCTTAAGATAAACCCAGTCATCCACCTTAATATCAGCTAGTCTCCTCCTTTTATTCGCCTGCTATGTCATTAAATCTTGGGCACGAGTCAAATGAAACTTTAAATGCTTAAGTGCTTCATCCCTTGTTTTCATCTCTTGAGCAACTGCTTCCACTGGTGTTTCTCATGGCACAAATCTACTCAAAGATGGGGGAGCCCTGCCATAAACAGTTTCGAAAGGGGTGCATCTTGTTGCTCCTTGGTAACTGGTGTTATACCAGTACTCGGCCCAAGGTAGCATTGTGTTCCAGCTCTTTGGCTGCTCGGAGCAGAAACACCTTAAGTAGCCCTTCACAATCCAATTTAATACCTCCGTTTGGCCATCTGTTTCAGGATGATAGGTTGTGCTCATCCTGAGTTGGGTTCCCTGCATCTTAAATAGCTCCTTCCAAAAAACGCTTAGGAATAAGGGGTCCCTATCACTAACAATCGAAACTTGGATCCCATGTACCCTCACTATCTCCTTGACGAACACCTCTGTCACTGTCCGAGCTGAATAGGGCTGTTTGAGCGGCACAAAGTGAGCATACTTACTCAGTCGGTTAACCACTACCAATATTGCATCATAGCCCTGTGATTTTGGCAGTTCCACTATAAAGTCCATACTCACCTCTTCCCAAACAACGTGAGGTATGGGTAAGGGTTGTAACAGACCTTGAGGAGAGGCTGCCAAGTACTTGTGCTGTTGGCACACCAACACTAGTGCAGAAAGGGCTTTAGACGTATGTTATTTTGGCCTTTTAAAGTCGGATACATATTTGACATCTTTGTGGGTGACGTTGGATGTGGGATATACTAGACGTCTATGTAGAGGTCGGATATGGAGACATCCGACGTCTATATTCCCTGAAATGTTTTGTTCACTGTAACTCATTGGACGTCTGTTTGTGCATTGACAGACGTCAATAGACGTTGGACATAGCATTAACCGACGTCTAGTGGGTGTTTTTTTTAAATCAATTTATTGTTGCAATAAAACCACACCTGAAAAATAGAAATTGTCCCAGAACAATATACTATATATATATATATATATATATATATATATATATATATATATATATATATATATGCGTTTCATATAAAGAAAGTTCTACTTAATGTAAAAAAAAATCCAATACCAAAACTATCAAAATATAAACTTAAACTAAAGCAAAGTAATGTTCAACAAGAAATATAAGTGTTCCTAGCTCCATCTTTGCAGAAGATAAGTTGTCCACTCCTACCTTATCTGCCTAATTATGTCCGCTGGTATAGGAGATGTGCTCTTGAATCGCTGCAAAATGAAGAAAGATTCATTATGGTTTCATATATGTTTAAAGATAAATTTGATTTGTAATGCATTCAAGGTATGCATCATTACCTCATTCCAGTCATCTGTAATGATAGCTCGAATGATGGTCTTAATCCAACACATGACATAGAAGCCACATTCCCATGAATCTAGCTGCTTGTTACACTAAAATGACAAACTAAATAGTCAAGAATTTAGATCATTCAATAAAATAGAAAATGAATTAGAAGTATAAATGACTTACAACCTTTGGATACAAAATTTGAACTAGTTGACCTTGAGATTTACCAATAGCTCTATTTAGATTCAAAACACAAAGTAAAATTAATATTACTATATTTATCATGAAAGTTTAAGGTGAACATCAAATTCAAAGTCATTTTTGGAGAAACACTTACCCTTGAAGCATGGTTCTCAAGTTAGTTTTTGTCTTCCTATGCAGCGAACAAAACCATATAATTTTACATTGTTTGGGAATGATGACCATCAGTTGCCAGTGCGACCTATCACGAATCACAAATAGTTATTTAACTAATTAAGTAAACTTTAATGAACTTTTACATATAACAACACCTACCCATCAATGTATGGCACGAGGTATACGTCTCTTTTTGACTCATCCATCCATGTTTGCAAATAATTTTGTTTGTTTTTAAGTGTGTTACCAGATGGTTGAATGGTCTGAGGTTCAACAAATCCGTACATGGAAGAGCGACCTTAGTCTACAACAATTGTGTCCATGTACCTAAAACAACAAAGTTAAGTTGTTATAAACTATGAATCTAAATAAAATTAATATGGAAGACAAAATTAACTATCTTACATGCACCATAGTTTAATGATGGAAATATTCAACATCCTGTCTCCCCGAATTACCTCCAATGCATTAGTCAATGTGATATATACTGGCACATGGGAGAGGGAGACCACATACTCTCAAATCCCAGTATAGTTCTAATGGTGCTCTCTTCAACCTGGGTAATCTTGTCATTAGCTTTGATAGAGGATCATCCTCCGCTTCAGCCATCTCATCATCTTCATCTATGACTATATCATGAATCGACTGCTTCTGAGGACGTGTGAACTAAAGAAAAGAATTTCAAAGTTATCAATAAATATTTTTAAATTTAACATAGAAATACTAATAACAAAGACATTATACCTGTGGAGTAACAATGTGTGACATGATCAATGCTCTAGGCCAGGATATAAATGATCCTATGGCCTCCCCCACAAAATGAATTTCTGGAGTGGGTACAAGCACTTGAGCCAGGGGATCCCGAACCTCGTTAATTGTCACATGCACGTGGTGGGGTAATACATGAACACCATGAATAATCTGCCTTCCCTCAAGCACTTGTTTGACAACCACAATCCGTGGGGGATCTCCATCAACCAACAGCTCATACTGACCGCTATACTGAGCAGGTTCTATAGTAGAGCATGATCCTCTAGTGCTGACACGAGGTGGTGTGGGAGCTTCAGTGGGCCCCATGGTGCCCTGCGTCATGGAATGCAGATTCTCTTCAAGCACTCTTTGTATTTCTTTTTGTTCTCGTAGCTGCTCCATGAATCGTTGCTCCATTGATCTCATGCTTTGGTTGAGTCTTTCCTCTCACTGAAGATCCATCTGCCTCAGTGCCTCCTGACTCATTGATTGAGTGTTTTTATGTGTAGGGCTAAAGTAGTCACGAAGACCAATCGCCCCAGGAACTCCACGTACATGTCTTGGGTGCTCGGACTTTCCAATGGCCGTTGTTAGAATGTCGTCCCTACCTTGGACAACAAATGTTCCCTGAGTCTGCTGCTCAACCAACTCATATTGCACATAAAAAAAACTAAGTTACTTAGAAGACATGCTATGATAAATACACAATCACACAATGTATAGAATTTGAACTTACAATTCTTTGTGACATCAAGGCAGTTGAGGAAGATGTCATGTTCCCATCAGATTTATTCCGAGCAGCCTTCCACAGCTCGTACCTAGCAGGTGCAGGTGCTAGGTCCGGGGATACAGCCCCAATGCATCCGCTCGAGACTTTCTAATTTTTTTTCCATTTTTGCATAACCACCTCATGATAACTAGTGTGGTGCATCATTTAGCCTTTGCCTTTCTTGCGCGACTAACCTTTTACCCTGTGAAACCATGTATATTCATAAGTGTAAATTCATAAAAACTCAATGAAAGACTTTGTAGAAATTAAGAAACATACCTTCCATTCCTCAGACTCTCTAGATGCACGAAACTGCATCTACTCCTCCTCTGTGAAGGTATAATGCTAACATGGATTTTCATGTTGTTTGTCTCCAAAGACATATAGTCATTTCCGCCTTGTCTTGA